ACCTACTATAATTCTCAATATAATTCAAAAGTTTTTAAATAAATTTTATAATTACTTGTTTTGGTGATTTTATTAATTATTTTTTTGTTTGTTTTTGATTTGTGATTTAACATTTAAGCAAAACAAACAACTTCCTCTTTAAATCATCATCATAAACAACATCATTATGTGGGTGTCTATTGCATCTTCAATAACAAGACAGTTTTATTTGAAAAAAACACCAGCATCAAACTCATTCACAAAAAGCCAAGTTAACACCCACTTTTTCCATTGTTTTTAAAATGATAAAAGTAGAAAGGGTGTCATATTTTATTGGCGGTTAATAAAAATTTTATATAAATTTATTTATATTTTTTATACGTGTTTTTTTTATTATACCATTACTAATATGTGTGTAATATTATGATTTTTTTGTTTGTGGTTTATTTTTTCAGATAATTTTTGTTATAAATACATTTAGTTATGAACTAATTCACAGCAAGAGAAAATTCATTGTAAAATATTATGGAGGAAATCGTTGAAAAAAATAAATAAAAGTGTTAAATGCTGGGAGTGCCTTAAATTTATGCAAATTTAGTTTAAAATGAACAATAATGGAAATTATGGGAAAATCTTTTGGAGATTTAAATGAATTTGGTGATTATTTAGAAATTATTCATGGATTTCGCAAAAAATACTTTAATCTAATCACACTAAAGTTGAATTGTTTACAGATTTTTTAAGTTTTTGTTTTTAAAAAGGTTTTTATGGCTTTTTTTAAAAATAGCTTTTTAGCAAAAGCTTTTTATATTATCTCAAAGACAAAGTATATACATTAAAAAAAAGCTTTTTATTGATTTAAACAAAGTTTTTATTGATTTAATATATTGTTTAACTAGAACTAGAATTGAACTAGAACTGAACTAGAACAGAACTAGAACTGAACTAGAACTGAACTAGAACTGAACTAGAACTGAACTAGAACTGAACTAGAACTGAACTAGAACTGAACTAGAACTGAACTAGAACTGAACTAGAACTGAACTAGAAATGAAATAGAACTGAACTAGAACTGAACTAGAACTGAACTAGAACTGAACTAGAACTGAACTAGAACTGAACTAGAACTGAACTAGAACTGAACTAGAACTGAACTAGAACTGAACTAGAACTGAACTAGAACTGAACTAGAACTGAACTGAACTGAACTAGAACTGAACTAGAACTGAACTAGAACTGAACTAGAACTGAACTAGAACTGAACTAGAACTGAACTAGAACTGAACTAGAACTGAACTAGAACTGAACTAGAACTGAACTAGAACTGAACTAGAACTGAACTAGAACTGAACTAGAACTGAACTAGAACTAGAACTGAACTAGAACTGAACTAGAACTGAACTAGAACTGAACTAGAACTGAACTAGAACTGAACTAGAACTGAACTAGAACTGAACTAGAACTGAACTAGAACTGAACTAGAACTGAACTAGAACTGAACTAGAACTGAACTAGAACTGAACTAGAACTAGAACTGAACTAGAACTGAACTAGAACTGAACTAGAACTGAACTAGAACTGAACTAGAACTGAACTAGAACTGAACTAGAACTGAACTAGAACTGAACTAGAACTGAACTAGAACTGAACTAGAACTGAACTAGAACTGAACTAGAACTGAACTAGAACTGAACTAGAATAGAACTAGAACTGAACTAGAACTGAACTAGAACTGAACCAGAACTGAACTAGAACTGAACTAGAACTGAACTAGAACTAAACTAGAACTAACGTTTTTATTAAAAAGGCTATTTATTGATTTGAAAAAGCTTCTTGTTGATTAAAAAAAAGAATTTTATTAATTTTTAGAAACGCTTTTTTATGAAAAAGAAAACGTTTTTTTTAACTTTTCTTTTACGGCTTTATAGCCTAAAAGCTCGTTTGGAATAGCTTTTTACCAAAAAGCTTTTGATACTTTTTAAGAAAAAGTTCTTGTTAAAACAAAAAGTATTTTAAAAAAAGCTTGGTGTCACAAAATGTATATGCAATAAGATTATTAAACAAACTTATCAAACTAAAAAGCTTAATTAATTTTCCATAGAAATATTATCAAATTTCTCTTGAATATAACTTAACTTTTAACAATTTATTAATACAACTTGTACTAAGGTAATTTATTAATAATATTTTTTTTTTTGAAATCCGAAAAAAAACATATCTCAAAAGTCATAAAATTATACATTTTATAAACACGAATAACTACAACGACAATTTGTATAAAATATAAATAAACAAAACTACATTTAAGTCAACATACATTCATACATACATACAAATAGCCTTAAAATCCTAGTAAATAATAATTTAGTTAAAGCAAAACTCTAACAAATAGACAAAAAAGCAGAAAAAAGGCCAAACATAAACTTTACAATTTAATGACTTTATTTGTGGCAGGAAAAAAACACAGAAAATTTAAGCAAAACTAACAACCATAAAAAGAAAAAAACCTAATATTAGATAAACAGATTCGCACATAAATAAATTGCCGAAAGGCTTGCAAAAATTATACGGTTTTTGTTAAAGGAAATCATAGTCATTATAAACAATTGTCAATGATTTAAATATACAATATGACCCCTTCTGTAAGAAACTTAAAATTTTTAAGAAAAAGTATCCAAAAACAAATTTCAATTTATGACTGATTTGTTTGCAAACCCCTATAGAGTTGTAAAAATTATTCAGTTTTTTCTTAATTTATATTAGAATTTATCATGCAATCATGCATTATTTATATAATAAAAACCATTATCATTTATACACTTGATTATGGTTGTAAGGTAGAAAGAATAAGTAAAGAAAAAAACATTTTATGGGGCATACGTGATTGGTGCATACGAAGAATTTCCAACAAAAAAAAAATAAAAATAAGTGAAAGTAAGCAGGATGAAATGTTTTTAGTAAACAAATTTTTTTACTTTTGGCCTTCAATTACACAGGCCGACAAATTATTAACCTAGAGACCAAAGTAAACTTTTACAAAAAATTGAGCTGATGAATTTCTCCATCACATCTGGTATTCGAGATATTGTGTCCTGAAATTTGAAAAAGCCTATTTTTGGCCCTTTATGAGACGTTAGAATAGCGTCAAGATAACTTTTTTTCCATCATTTTTATTAAAAAGCTTTTTGCAGTAAAGCATTGGTTTTTCTGAAAAAGCTTTTGACAACATTTTGTGAAAAAGGTTTTAACCGCTCTTTGGTGAAAAAATTTTGTATGTAATTTTTTGAAAATGATTTTTACAGCTTTTTTGTGAATGAGCTTTAAAGCTCTTTTTTTGTGAAAAAGCCTTTTTTTGAAAACGCTTTAAAGAATTTTTTGTGAAAAAGCCTTTAACAACTTTTTGTTGAAAAGCTTTAAATAACTTTTTTGTGAAAAAGCTTTAAACAACTTTTTTTGTGAATAAGCTTTAAACAACTTTTTTATGACTTAAACAACTTTTTTTGTGAAAAAAAAGTTATGCAAAAAGAAAAAAGAAGCTTTTTTGAACATGTAAAATAAAACATTTTATGAAAAAGCTTTAACTGCTTTTTGGTGAAAATATGTAATATGGATTTACAGCTTTTTGTAAAAAAGCTATAAACAACTTTTTTTTAAAAGCTTTGAACAACTTTTTTATGAAAACGACTTAAACAATATTTTGTGAAAAAGCTTTAAATAAAATTTTTGTAAAAAAGTTTAAAATTATTATATGCATTTACAGCTTTTTGTGAAAAAGCTATAAACAACTTTTTTAAAAGCTTTAAACAACTTTTTTGTGAAAAAGACTTAAACAATATTTTGTGAAAAAGCTTTAAAAAATTTTTTTGTAAAAAAGTTTAAAAAAAATTTAAAGCTTTAAACAAATTTTTTTGTGAGTAATCTTTAAACTACTTTTTTGGGAAAGAGTTTTAAACAACTTTTTTGGGAAAAAGCTTTAAACAACTTTTTTGTGAAAAAGCGTTAAACTCTTATTTTAAAAAAGCTTAAAAACCTTTGTTAAAATGTTTTAAAAAATCATTTTGTGAAAAAGCTTTTAAACGCTTTTTAGTGAAAAAATGTTATATGCATTTACAGCCTTTTTCTAAAAAAAACTATAAACAACTTTTTTGTGAAAAACAAGTGTTTTATGCAAAAGCTTTAAAATCTTTGTCAAAATGTAAAAAAAAAAAACATTTTGTGGAAAAGCTTTTAACCGCTCTTTGGTGAAAAAAAACTGTATATGCATTTACATACAGCCTCTTTGTGAAAAAGCTATAAACAACTTTTTTTGAAAAGGCTTTAAACAAATTTTTTGTGAAAAAGACTTAAACAACTTTTTGTGAAAAAGCTTTAAACAACTTTTTTAGCTAAAATGTAATTTAATTTAATAAACAGATTTTATGAGAAAAAAAACATTCAACAGTTTATAATAAAGAAGCTTTTTTAGCATTTAATGAAAAAGCTAAATGTAATTTAAAAATATTTCAGTAAGATAATTTTAATATATAAAAGCTTTTAGTCATGCCAAAGGTCCTCATGTATTTTTTTATGAAAAAGCTTTTTATTAACTTTTTTCTAGCGTTATTCAATGTTTCTTGAGAATACACGATTATATAAAAGGCATCCATGAGAAAGGGTTTTTAGTTTTATATAAAGCTTTTTAAAGCTTTATTTCAGGAAATGCTGAGACAACCAAAAAACCGTTTTGAATCAAAAGTTTTGTGAAAATATGAAATGTATTCATTTGCAATCCTTTTAATACTTCCAACTAAGTTTTCACTAGATATAGTAAATTCCCTAAACTTGAATTTTTTTTTAATAATGTTCAACAAAATTACTTGTAAAATGCTTTTAAACAAAAAATACATATTTTTTTCTTCTGCTAAACATTAAAATTGTTATAAAATACAAATTAAATTGATTTATTGAATAAAATTACATGTTTTGTAAAATAAAGGGAAACTTAAGTAATACTTGTAAATTGTTTTACCACTTACGTGTTGCTGTGTATTTTTGTTTAATTTCCTTATGTTACGTTCTCAACGAAAACTGTTTAAAGTTGAACTGATATATTTTTCCACAGAATTGCTGTTCACAGTAAACTGAATGTTGGTTGATCGACAACAGAAATTGGTCTTAAAGTTGGCGTTGCTTGTGATGGGCTAATTTTCAATTATAATGCCATGTAATCAAGGACTTTGTGTTTTACTTAAGTTTTATTTGATTATTTTTTGATTTTTTTGTTAAAAATAAACGTGTAAAGATGAATGTTGATAACTACAAAAAAGATATTGAAGATGAAGACAAGTTACATACATATAAACGACGTATTGTTATTGTAGTTATTTTCTCTGTGTTGTTTAAAGAATTTTTCTTAAGGTTTTCACGACTTTTTTTTTGGTTTTTATAAAACCAAATAAGGGCGTAAATGTAGTGCGTGTTTACAATAACAATAATAAGAACTGCTTGTATTTCTCTAGAAAATCACAAAACAAAAACTAAATAATAATGATAATGTTTACAAACAATGGAACACAGTCGACGCGTAATATGAAACCCGGCACGATGGCGTCTCAGATCCGTTCAAAATGTTGGTCAATTTGAAAAAAAAAAAAAAAAAAACGCGCGCGTACATTAACAAGTTTTCATCATCATTATTATTATTATTGATAAATATTTTTTATTAATATTTTTTTATTTATAAACAAAAACGAACATATTTTAATTAAACATTCACTTTTTTTGTTTATTTCCGAATAAAACAATTGCTTTGTACTTTAATTTTTGTATTCAAAACAATTTTTTTAAGGAAAAACTTTTTTATGTTTAATTTTTAAACCTTTTGTAGGATTAAGATTTTTGTATCTGTTTTGTTATTGTTGTTGTTGCTTTAATAGTTGACAATTGCTGTTGACATTTTGTTGTTTATTATTGGCCATATTTATGTTTTGTTTGTTTGTTGCTTTTTTAACTCCAAATTTAAGTTTCACTTTATTTGGGGGAGGGAGTTTTCAATTTGATTAAGTTGCTGGTTGTAGTATAATTTTATGCCTGCAATGAAATCATAGATAAAAATAACAAAAATGTTATTAAATTTATTGAAATTACATACTTATGTAGAAAAAAATATATAAATGGAAATGGTATAACTTATAAAAAAGAGATCTGAGTTAAGCCGAATATTAGTTTATATAATTATGGATTTATTTTATAAAAAAGCTTATTTCTTATAAATTATTCTTTCTATGTATATGTTTCACGAGACGTACTATGAAAAAAGCTATTGATACTTGCAACAGTAAAAAGCTTTTATGAAAAAACCTATTATGAAATAGTCCTTTCTTTTGAAAACTGTTAACCGTTTGCAGGAAAAGCTTTTTCAAATAATTTTTATATATTTCTTAAAAATATAACAACGAAACTTTTGTACAGTAAAAAGCTTTCATGAAAACTGTTTGAAAACTGTTAACCCATTTTTTTTTGTAAATAGAATTTTGCAGTAAAAGCTTTTTCGAATAAAATTATTTAAGATAATGTTATTTGGGAAGTTCTATTATTAAACAATATTCTTGAGAAAAGCTTTATTCATATTTCTAGGAAAAGATATACATACAATATTCCTCGGAAAAGCTTTCTTGAGTTTTTGTAAAACCCATTCTTATAAAAGTTTTTTTTTTATAGCAAAAGTGTTTTCGGTAAAATATTTTTATGATTAAAGCTTTCTTAGTATAAATAGAGCTTTTAAAAATAAAGTTTTTTCTTAATGTTCTAAAAATTCAAATGCTTTTCATTCGGCAATTTTAGAAAAGCTTTCTAAAAAAAAGCTTTTACATTTTTCATATAAAACTTATAAGAATTTGTTAAAAAAGAAAAAACTTTTTTATAAAACTTTTTTGTTATAAAATTCATATTTAAAGCTTTCAGCTAAAAGCTTTCCTCTAAAAAATTTTGATTAAATTTTTTAATTTAAAAAATAAAACTTTCCTAAGAAATGAGTTTTTATAAAAAATATTCTAGTGAAAGTTTTTTAAAGTCAAAACATTTTAGGGTTAAATCTTTCTTCATGAAAGTGCTTTTAAAGCTTTCTTGTTGGATAAGCTTTTTATTTTACTCTTAAAGAAATCATTTCTGGTTTATTTCATTTTAGTAAAATCAAAAAAAGCGTTATTGACATAAGTTTTTTGAGTAAAAAAAATGTTTCAGAAAAGCTTTCTAAATAAAAAGCTTTTACATTGAACAAGTTTTTTATATAAAACGTTTAAGGAACCAGTTAAAAGAAAAAAAGAGAAACTTTTTTATAAAATGTCTTTTTTCAATAAACTTCATATTTAAAGCTTTCATAAAAAAATTATATTTCTATAGAAAAAATTTTCCTCTAAAAACTTTTCATTTCATTTTTTATTTCAAATAAAACTTTCCTAAGAAATGAGTTTTTATAAAAAACATTCTAGTGAAAGTTTTTTTTAAAGGCAAACAATCTTAAGATTAAAGGTTTCTTGGTAAAAGCTTTCTTGTTGGAAAAGCTTTTTATTTTACTCTTATAGAAATCATTTCTGGTTTATGTTATTTTAGTAAAATCGAAAAAGCTTTATTGCTATAAGAGTTTTAAGTCTATAATGTGAAAGCTTTTTGTACAAGAAGTACCTATACACTAAAAAAGCTTTTTATATAAAGCACTTATATAAAGAATCAATAATGCTTTTTAAGTAAAAAATTTACATTGAAAAATCTTTATATATTAAACGCTTTCAAGAAAGCTTTATTGTGATAAGTTTTTAGGCGACACTTTTTGAGTAAAAAGTTTATATTAAAAAACTTTTTATATGAAAATGCTAACATAAAGGATCATGGAAAGTGTAGGGCGTCTGTGATATATACATACAAACACTACACTACTCTAAATACTCAAATGCACCAGCGTGTAATTTAAGACACTACTTTTTTTAAGCCCTCATATTACCGAAACTGGCCGACAGACAAAAACTCATTCCGACAGTAAACATAAGCAGCAAAAGACAACAATAGCAAATGAAAAAAATAAAACATTATATATGTTTAAATGTTTGAATGTCTGACGTTCTGTCTCAGAAAAAAATGTATGTTTTAGTTCATAAAAACTGATGTGTTTTGGAGCTGCACAAAAAAAATATAAATAAATGTTGCAATTTTTTCTTAAGCCTTAAAGTTATTTTTCTGTGTGTGTGTTTTATTTAGAAAAATTATTGTTATGATTGTTGTTGTTGTATTTTTTCTTAAAATTCTAAATAAATAAACTTTAAAGCACTTGTGGTATTTTGTATTTTGTTGTTAAATATTGTAGAGTGAAGTGTCTTTTGTGAGTTTTTTTTGGGGAACATACATAGCTATTTGTGCCTTTGTGGGGCCATAAAAATATTTTAGTTGTCATTGTGGAATTAAGGTACATATTTTGGTAGTGATTTGTGTGGTCGTTATAGTTTATGGTATTAAATCGCTTAATTTCTAAGCTATTTTTGTTTTTCTTCTTATGCCGTAGACAATATTTGAAAATTATCTTTCTGTATGACGTTTTGAAAGTAGTGGTTAAATTTTTGTTGGTTTATTTTGTTGAAATCCAACAAGGGAATCATAAATTTGTTTGTTAGCAAGTATTGTTTATTGAAAACAAATCTTTTTGAAAAATATTTATTTAAGCATCTTAATGTTTGAAAATGTGTTGTACTGATTTTTTATGAAAAATTTTGTGTTATTTTTAAGCAAAAATATTTTGAAAAATATTTCATATTTTCTTAGCTTGGGTTTTTATTTATTGAGTTACTTTCAATGATTTCATTAGCATTGTGTTGAAGAAATAAATTTTAGTTTTTAAATGATCATGCAAAAAATTGTGATAAATTAAAAGAAAATAAAAGTTATCTCTAATTCGAGAATATTAATAAATTAGTATCAGGATATTCCCAGCAAAAACTAAGTAATGGCTTTCAATTGTAATTACCTACCTAACAACATACTTTTCAATGACTACTGGATTACATAGAAATAGTCTAATAAGGCCTTACCAATAATGTGTTATATAAATACTTTTTAATTCATTAATCTTTTGCCTTACAATGACTACTTTTTCCAATTACTTGTAATTGTTTGTTGTAAGTACTTGCCTTCAATGACATCACCGTGTTAAAATAATGACTTAAAATGCTATTGTGTAAGTAAATTTTAGCATGTTAACCCCATAAATTGTAATAAAAGTTTTTACTGGGTTACGTTCCAACTAATGAACAGCCCTACCCAGTGAATTAAATACTTTTTAGGTATTACTGATTTCGATCTATTACTCCACATACGTATGTAAGACTCACTTCATTGCCTTAAAAACCACGATAACACAGACCGACAAATTTTTAACCCAGAGATCAAAGTATACTTTTCTAAAGGATCGAGCTGCGCTGAATTATGGAATTTGAGATATCGTGTCCTGAAGTTTGAATGAAGGAAATTTCTGCCCATTTTTGAAACATTATAACAAGACAACTTAATTTATAAAGTGTTGTACGCGATCTGATAGTGGCCATATGTGAGGCCAGTTTCGAATTCAACCCGGCTCAATACTTTAGAAAGGTATTGAATGTTTTCAGGGCTTCGACTTTTTTTCAAATGTAAGGCCTGTGTAATTAACTAATATCGTGATAGTTCACTAAACGTAAATCATAGTCAGATGTATGGTAAAATACATATCAGTAAAAACATTACTTACCTGGTAAGCAGTTAAGTAATATACTTACTAAGTAAAAACTAGTTACACAATTCTATATAAATTGCTTGTTTTTTCATGAGTTTGTGATCGTGTTGAACCACCTCGTAACATATATCTCTTGTTTTTGGACAGACGTCCTAGACCATTGGGCTGAATGCCGAAGTGCTTTAGGTGAGTACCTGCCGTGTTGGTGTATCTCACGGTGGTCTTTTTCAACCACTGAGTATCCTTGAGAACGGTCTACCATCGCCCCTTCAATCTTCAATGAAAAAATCAGGTGGCAATTTTTGCGCATGGCTGAGCCGCTACAAGTAATTTGCTGAAGTACTCGAGCTATCTAATCTCTTGCCATAGTAGCCCCGTTGGGGAAGGACAGATGTCATGAGCAAGCTCAAGTCAATAGAAGAGTCAATAGAAGGGGCGTACCCAACATCAGGTGAAAACTCCCTATTGATGTTATTGGGAATGCTCTGTCCCTACAAACATTCTCATCATCTACAGATTCACCCCAGTGCATTCCTGGACCTCGCCCAACCACACTACTGAAATGGCTTCTGTTGGTTTGGCAACAGCACCTAGAGACGTATTTGGTAGCCCGAAATACCCAAGATAATAAATCAGGATCCCTCTTCATTAAACGATCTGTAACAAAGGATGTAAGAATTTTGATTTACGTCAACCGACAAATAGTCGCATAGCATAAATCAATATATCCTGTTGAGATGGCAACAGCACCCAGAAACCGAAAATCAGGCCTCCAATATGTGGAGACTTTCCCAATCTTTCACCAATTTTCGCATCAGTTCCATTCCCACGATCATAAAGATCTTTCTACGGCATGACAGGCACCTACTGAATGTTAAGCTGACAAATCCCCAGCATATACCGGCTCCCTACTACACGACCGGTAAGATATACCTCAGCTCTGTACACATACCTGTGTCATTTGAATAGAGAATTAGCCAAAGCATTATATATTGGGTATATCAACCATTAAACCAACAATCTCTCCCCGTGAATTTGGGTTTAAACCACAGCCACGTGAATCCCGAAGGAATCTCAACCAACTGACCAGCCAGGACCAGTCCTGTGGGCAACTGGCCACCTGTAGTACCAGATTATGTGGTTCTCTGGTTAGAACCCATGTCAAATCACTCCAAGGAAAGGCCGAGGATACATTTGATCATCACCAGCTTATAGTCTCGGCAGACTAGAGGTGCTGGTAGCACCTCTTTACCCCGGGATTGGAATACACCATGATTGGACATTACATCATGCCCCGAGGGGGGGGATACCATTGGGCTATAAACAATTCTAT